ATGTACAGTTGCCTTCATTTTTAGCAAAATAACATGTTATGGGAGTTTGTATTCCAGGAACAGGCTGTGCCACTAGCAGTCAGCATTTCAAGTGAAATAAAGACTCATGAAGGCAAGAATCTCATGTTTGCTGCCATGCAGAATCTAGAGGGGAAAGGATCATGAATGGAAAAAGTGAATTATTAGTGTCAAGGGGAGAGAAGGGAAAGGAGGAAAGGAAGTAGCTGGGGAAGGTGAACATGATCAAGGTACATCATATGCGTGTATGTAAATATAATAAAACCCATTCTTTGTGCAATTAACTTATGCTAAAAATAGGCTATGCTTAAGTATATAGTAGACTCTATCATGAAGGTTTGTGTTAGTACACTCTGTCACACAATCATGGAATCTTTTAAGAATGAATGTCTCTAAACAGCTTCATACATAAGTGATGTGTGACTGTATTTGAAGATGGAATTAAGAAGACACACGAACCTCATGGACCTTTATGTAACATCATAGAGGAATGGGTAGATGTTTGTTAAGTTAATATGTATGTGCACATACCATTCTACTGAGTGTATATGAGTGTGTTTCGGGGGGGCAATGCACATACATGGATCTGTGCACAAAGAAAACTCTGAAGGCAGTACAAAACTATGCCAAGTTAAGACATACCTGTTTTGCCCTCAATCTTGAACCCAATAGGCTTTTTAACTATGACAGCAAGGAAAAGTGAGGTTGAGTTGAGTCAGTGGGTTGGGCTTTATGACAAGTGTAGCAGGGAATCTAAAAATAAGGATGGGGTGATAGCTCAGTTGATAAAATGTTTACTGTGTGAATTTAATCTCTAGCACCTGTGTAAAAATATTAGGTGTGGTGGTGTGCACTTGTAATCCCAGTGCTGGGAAGGCACAGAAAGGAGACTCCTAGCCTAGCTTAAGTGGTGAGCCCTGTGATGTTCAGTAGTGTCAACTTGAGCGGATCTAGAAACCCCTGGGAGGCAGGCCCCTGGGCTTGCCTATGGGAAGTTATTGCGATTGTATTAATTGATGCGGGAGGACCTGCCTGCTCTGAGTGGCACCATTCCCTGGATGGGAAGCTGAACTGTAGAAATGGAGGGAAGGAACTGAGCTGCAGCATTGCATTCCTCACTCTCTGTTCCTCGTTGTGGATACGATGTGAGCAGGTGCTTCATGCTCCTGCCTGCTTGACTTCCCTGCCATGGTGGACTCTACTCTTGAACTGTGAGCCAAAATAAATTCTTCTCCCTTAAGTTGCTTTTATCAGAGTATTTATCACAGCAACAGGAAAAGAAACTAAGACAGGCCCTAAGCCACTGAGGGATGCTCTCTGACATCTGACGAAATGACACCTGAGGTTGACTTCTTACATCCACATCCACATGCACACATACATAAACAGAAATAAATAAAAATAAAAGTAAAGGTCCTGTTATGATTAACTGGTAGATGGCAGACAGTGGTGAGATATTAAGTCAAGAGCCAAGCCTCAATAATCAAGCCATGCCCAGCTTCCGGAAGGCACATTTGTGATTGATGTAGGTAGAGGTGGGTAAGAAGCAAAAACGGGGCCTGGGAGCTGTGCAGAGTGGAAGTGATGAGGCTCAGAATTCCCCGGTGTCTCACAGAGTGCCTCTGTCTTAAGGTTCAGTGCGTTTGATCATGCCAACAACACAGATGTAACCGTGTCATGGAGAGCACTGGTTGGTGTTCACTGCGTAGTGTCCATGGGATTGCATGCATCACACAGCTTGTGCCAGTAGTGACCTTGTTGCAAACGAGGAAGGGCTCATGTTTTAGGTGAAAGATTCATACAGTCTGAAGAGATATCGGAGTATGGGAGGCTCAGGATTTTGTTTTGAAATTTTCAGAAAATTATCCAATTACAACTGAATTTTTTTTTTTAATTTGAAGAATTTAAAGTCCTCTGTCAACTTCCCTAAATTGAGTTGTTTACTAAGTATTCCAATTGGGAACTGTATTTTCCACTTGAAAGAATTCTCTACTTTCCAAAATATGTCTACAGGCATTTTCCTTGTGTGATTTTCATTTGTCTGAGATGGGTATTGAGTTTATTTGTGTCCATTTTACTTGTACAGAATTTGAGACATAGATTAAACAACCATCTAAAAACATCCAGCTGGTCCATGGCAGCCAAGTGGAAGAAACCAGGTATCTTAAGTGCCAGATGTTGCCATGACATTGTACAGTACTATCAGCATCCCATTGCTTTTTAAAAGTATTTTATTTATTATCTTTATGTGTATGAATGTATTGCTTGCATGTATGTAAGCACCTGTGTCATGCATTGCCCACAGAGGTCAGAAGAATTGGATTCCCTGAAACTGGAGTTGTGGACAGTTGTTAGCTGCCATGTAGTTGCTGGGAAATGAGCCCAGGTCCTCTGCAAGAACAGTCAGTGCTCTTAACCACTGAGCCATCTCTCCAGCCCCTCTATTGCTATTATACATGGGCCACTATGGCCTCAAATAAGTGAGCCATGAAAAGTCCCCATGAAGCAAAAGGCCCTGTTCTTGAGGGTGTCCCAAGACTGAGAAATCTGCTTTTTTCCCTTTGTT